CAGGTGAAATGGAAAGTCATGTACTTTTAACCTGAACTTATCACAGTCGCTGATTCTGTCTTTTCGCAGGTCAAGTTAAGAGAAGTAAATTCGGAGGATACCTGGTCAAAGATGATGACTTCAAAATAGCGTATGTCAGTTTGGTAAGTTCTAAGTGAATCAGTAGTTGTTTGCTTTAGCATGAAAGAAGTCCTATTTATAACTGAATTCATTTTCCCGATGCAAAAAGTCAGAAGTGTCATATTTCCTGATGAATACATCAGTATTTTATATGATCTGATACTGGCTAGGGTGATGATTAATATTATAATTTTATTGTTTTAATGTCAGGCAGTTTTTATCTACTAAAACAGGCTTACAGTGCTAAGGAAGTCAGATTTCCAGTATAATATTCATTCAGATTTTGTTTATGCTATTGTCTTGGTTAGTGCCATCACACTCACATAATGGAAAAGAAACACGTAATTATTATTATTATTATTTTTTTCTACTGAAGTATTTGATATCTAACATGCATGGATCAGGGACTTAAAAGCTAATATTGTTTTAGGTTTAAGTCCAGACTGATTATTTAGTGTAGGCTATCAGGATTTGCTGTTTTCTTTTATTCTGGATCAGTTGAGAATGGAAAACTTTTTTTTTTCATAATGTAATGAGTTAAAGGCCTTGTATACATATCTCAGTCCAGTTTTTATTGATTTTTTCTTTTCTTTTTTTCCTTGTTTTGCAGCCTGCAACAGAAAGCTTTGAGTTCCCCAACCTGTTCCCGGAGGACAAGAAAGACGAGGAGGACAAGCAGATGGAACAGATGGACGCTTTGAGGAAGGAATGGGTGAAGAACAAGAACAGGGACAAGCATCGGCAGGGAACACCATCTTGGCTGGGATTGTGAGATGGGCCGGGCATGCTTGCAGCTTTGCCCAGATCTATAGATACTCTGTCTTTAGGTATCTCTAGAATGGTCATTTGATTACCATAGGAAGAGCGGAAGTCAGTCCATTGTCAGAACATTTTCTGTGACTTCATTCTGAAAGATGCAGAGTATGTCAAGTCTCCAGATAGTTAGGCTGTTTCTTTTTTCTTAATTTGATTAAAATGGATGTAGGATTCAGATTGGTTGTATAGACATTTTTCAGTCAAAGCTTTGTCCTAAATTGTTAGAGCAGATTAATTTAAAGGATAAAATTTAGATAATGATGATTATAATATTGTGTCAAAGTGCTATTTGATTGATGACTTTTTAGTTTTGAATAAGAAAGAAAACATTGTATTGAATTGTTAGCTAATGAATTTGGCAGTCTGTTAGCTGAATATCCTGGAATACTGTGCACATTGGAGCTTTTTGATAGATACTTTTGTGGTCATTTTAACATCATTTTTACAATAGCATCACCATGTACATAATTTGTTAATAATGTTTTTTGTAAATAAAGATGAAAAAGAACAATTTAATTTTTCAGTCCGTTATTTTAGAAAAATGGATTTGACAAGAAAAAAAATAACACATAAGTCAACAAAAAAAATGTATCATTCATGTTACAAATTATTTCAGATATTTGTGACATTATTTATAATGTCTTTAAACCTATTTGACTTGATTCCTGGCAAAGACCAAAATGTATGATTTATTAAGGTAACATAAAGTACTGTTCAAAGACATTTTAATTAATTCTTTTATTATAGATTCATATTTCCATGATTGCAATGTTTTTAAGATTACATCAAAGAGTACATTGAATTTCACCAAGATATATAGAATACATAATATACTGTATGTGAAATGCAGAACATCATGGTCAGGACAAGAAACGAAATGCAAGGTGGTATAGAATCATGTAGCCTCTTGTGTTTTTTTTTGTTTGTTAACCCATTGCTAACAGGCATGACATGCATTTGTATGCAATGCCCACTATGAGTTTACTTGTTTAATTGTTTTGACACAGATGGCTACACTTGTACTAAGTCACCAATGAGCCAATTACGAGTACTAGCTGTCTTGCCCGTTTATCCTTTTCTTTGATTTACGAGAATACTTTACGTTAACTTATTTTGCTGTTACTAATTTTTATAACATTATAGTAATTATAATGTTTATAATAAAAGTAACACCATTGATATTCATAGCACTAGTAAAAAATACATTTTTCCTGCCAATTCAAGGAAAGGTGAAATCAGGTATGGCTAAGCGCTAGCAGAGCCATCCCTTGCTTGTTGTCGTGGGGGGCTTAGGAGATGGAGACTGAGGCCCAATGGAGGGGATCACCCCTGCCTTGGTCCTGGGGGGCTTTAGTCCCAAGTCCCACCCTGTTGCTATATTTTGAATACTCCGCTAGTGACCGTAGATGTTAACGCAGCAGAAAATTTTCAATAAACAAATGAATATATTTACTGAGCAGATGCATTATTCTTATTGTGTACAAGAAATACAAATGGTCTTACCCTGTTTTATATCTTAGAGCAGGGGTGCTGAACATTTTGGGTACCAAGGGACATACTGACATTCTTTCTTGATATCAGTTATTTTCCCTGAAAATGAGAAAAAAATCAACATTTAATGCTTATGAAACTCAAATATTGCAGTTGAATTATGGTGATATTAGTGTTAGGGGAATATTTAGGCGTTGTAAAATCTTCCATGGTGGATTGGATAGAACAGTCTTGGGCTATGTCCATTGTACTGTCCTGATGTTCCCTACCCCTGCCTTCAGTGTACAATTTTCAGCAGACATTTCCTGCAAAATAGTCTTCAAAGTTGTTATAATTTATGTTCAATAAATATATTTCATGATAAGGAACCTTTATGGACTTTATCTCTCTTCATGGGCTTCCCCTGAACCTGCCCTCATGGAAGGAATATGAGTAGGTTGACGGATGGAGAACAACTGTGTGTGTGGAAGTCTGCTGCAGCTTTCTTATTTTTCGCCAATTTTTTTCTCATTAGATTAAAAAAAATGAATTGGATAGCAAGGTAAGTTTAGATCATTGTGTACACACCGTTTTTCAGTGTTCGATCTACTGGTCTCTTCAGGCATTAAGAGGGGCAGGAGATAGTGAATACACAAATTTTAAAATCATTAATCAAGGTTTCGCTTATCATATGTATATATTTTTCTAGACTATGTGTATCTGAGTGTTATTGTATGTTTGAGTGAATGTACAAATAGACACACACACACACACACACACACACACACACACATATATATATATATACATATGTACACACATACATACATACATAAAGAAACAGAGAAAGAGACAGACATAAAGAAAGACTGACAGAGACAGAGACCAGGAGAGATATAGAGACAGAGACAGTATATATATATATGTGTGTGTGTGTGTGTGTGTGTGTGTGTGTGTGTGTGTGTGTGTGTGTGTGTGTGTGTGTGTGTGTGTGTGTGTGTGTGTGTGTGTGTATACGTATATGTACATGTATATGTATATGTATATGTATATATATATATATATATATATATATATATATATATATATATATATATATATATATATGTATATATATATATATATATATTTATATATATACATATATATATATATATATATATATATATATATATATATACATATATGACCCCTCGTGGTCCCGAGTTCAATTCCCTGTCGCGGCGGTCGTAAAAATGCCTCTTGACTGCTGGCTCGAGCCCGAGAAAACGACATATCGCCTTGGGAAGTCGGACACAGGTGTCGTAGGGGAAGTCACCGTCGTGGCACAACCGCGGTTTAGGAAGGGCATCCAATCAGGCAAGGGTGGCACTGCCATATAAGCTATCATTAGTGAATTTAGAGAGGCCTACATCCTGCAGTGATATGAATGGCTATTAAAAAAAAAAAAAAAAAAAAAAAAAAAAAAAAAAAAAAAATATATATATATATATATATATATATATATATATATATATATATATATATATATATATATATAT